TACTTATACGGCTATACAGTATACACTATTAAATGTTTCATTAATTATATTTTTTAAATCTACATTATACCGATTTATAATTTAAAATGTATATATTATGGACTAATTTATAAACCCTGGGAAACTTATCAACACGAGTGAGCATTTTGTACCAATTAGAATTTTACGACCAACAGATGACAGTGAAGATTACTAATAACCACTACATAAAATGTTTATGGTTAATTCAGGGTTGTTAATTGAATCACAATAGTTAGGTAATTAACTACAATAAGTAATTGCCATTAATAGGATTTTTCATCGTTTTACTGCTCACATAGATTTTTTTCACTAGCAATTAATGTTGCACAAAATAATACATTTTTCTAGTCTTATAAATATATATATATATGCATATTTAAATCCTTTTGTACATTTAGTTAAGTTAGTTAATATTAAAATATTATTATAAAACGTTTTAAAATAATTACATAGCAGCTATATAATATTTTAAAAACATTTCCATAAATTATGTACCACTAAATTTGAAATTATTTGACAATATTTTTAAAACGTAGCTATGCGCTTATGCCGTATTAAGATAACATAGTTAAAAAAAAATACTTACCAAACAAATTTAATTAGATTCGTATCAAATATATCAGTTTTACAATGGTATGTTTTAAATTCTAAGACTTAAGTGGAGTGAATGATGGTTTGGTTTTAAGACTGTTACAAAGATGTGTTTATTTTAGTGAATCATCATGTTTTGGAGCAGACAGCATGTTTCTATCTACAATATTGTATTGTAGTTGCTTGTAGAAATTTTATCTCATTGGTACTTATTGGGTGGTCTAATTCATTTTAATTGTGTAAAATAAACAAAAAATACCGACCAAGAAAACTGGGATATTGACACTAAATTACGGAACACGAGTTTTCGACAAAATGAATGTTGTTTTTTTTATGTAAATAGTAATTTATATGGAATTAACACTATAAGCTTTAAATTGTTCACCAAATATTTATATTATAGTATTCATGATATAATTTTCAAAATATTTTGGAACTTTTTTCAATAAGGAATTTCTACAAATTAAAATTGCCGACTTTTAATCTTTATGTTGATACAATTTTTGTTTTAGGTCAATATTTTATTATATATTAGATTTAATACAATGGTCTGTAAAATATTGAAAATACATGCCTAGTCGGCTAATCCCATTTTTTTTTATATAGGCGTTTGAAGTTCATAATTTTGCAAAATTCGTAAATTTTAAGAATGTATACAAATTATGTATATTTTTAATTTAAAATTGAAATATGCACCTTGTTTGAAAATGTAATACTCAGTGTTCCTCTTAAATTGTTTTTATTTTCTTAATAGTACTAAAAAAAATTTAGCTTCCTAACATTACTTACAAGTTACATTATAACTTTCTATACCAAATTATATTGTGCTCAAACTATTTATACTAATTTTAAACTATTTATACCACTAACCATATCATTAAACCATATCACGTTCTACGCACCGTTGGTACTGACTTTTATGCATTATTTTTTGGAAAAAATCAGTCCAACCTATATTAACTTAAGAAATTACTATTTCATTATCAATAATAATAAGTATAGCCCGGTATAGGTATAATTTATAATAAAATATCTTTAGAAGTCGAGGCTGATCATCTAATTTACCCAGAATCATATTTCGCAAACAATAATTATTTTACATTTAATTCAAAATGAATATAACCGCATTAGTGCAGTGATCTACTCACACATTGTCACCTCCTATACATCAGAGTGAGTTCCCACTTATTTTTTTTTTAAAAGTTTAATTTAAGCAGAGGTACTGCATTTGTCCTTTATTAAACATCATGAGTACGCACACAAAGCGATACAATACTTAACACGACATACTTGCAGAGTATATCAAACTCAACCGTAGACACGGCCGTCAAAATGTAATACAATAAAAACATTATTAACAAAGCTAACTATATCCATATAAGGATTAAACCAGGCCCAGAACGAAGCCGGCCGTGCAGTCGAAGAGTTTACCAAGTCCGGAGGACTCTTGGTCAGCCGAACGTTTTTGTATTCGAGTGCTGTCTATACATTTTATTATATGAAATATATTTCAGCAATAATTATTGACTATTAAATGTATTAAAAACGAATTAAAAGAAATTTAACGCAATGGACACTTTAACACTGTTGTGTGGTAGTACCTATACTGTCTTAGGGAATACATTTATAGGTATTATGCACGTTATGATTCTTCTATTGTGAACCAAGTAATAATTTAGGAAATATAAAGAATATTTAATTATTTTTTATTAAAAATATATTTGTCTATGGTTATTATTTATTAGTAGATACTTGTTTGTAAAATTAAAAACTATACCTAATAAATTTTCTAAGATACACCTAATACACGATAAAAGACCATTTCTGTACCTAGTAGATACATCATATCATAGCTATTTCATTTGAAATATCAAATAAATTAAACTGGGATTCTATAAAAAAAAATCCTTTAACTATAGGTAAATACTATTTAGATTTAAAATTTAATATTATTTTAAACTTTGAATTATTGCTTTGAATTTAAATTCTAAAAATCCTGATGTTAAAAGGTTTGACTTAGAGATATTAGAAGTGCACTAAGCATTAACTAAGCATTAAATCATATCAATCATAAACTTAAAAGTTTTAAAGTTAAAATAATAGCAACTAGCAAGAGAAATCTCGCAAACTTTTACAAATTAAATTCGTTTCTAATTTAAGATTTGAATGTTGTTAAAACTATATTAAGTAACTACCGCAACTGGTACTTAATAACATAAACAGCATAGTATATTGCATTAATTTACCAATTTTTTTTGGAAAAATATTCTGGTTCAAAATATGAAATAAATAATAAAAACAATTTAGTTCGCAAAACACATAAACTGTAAATTACCGAAAAAAAAGTTCTGCGATTTATTAGTATACGTGGTTGTCCAAGAAAACAAGCACCTTTCTTTAGAAGAATTCTAAATTTATTATACGTCTATCATAATAAATAGGGAAGTACCTCATTTAGACAACATTATATATTCAGCAAATAATTGTACTCACTCGTACATTTAACATAATATTATTATCATTTTTCTCGTGTCGTTTTGCGATTTTGGTCGCATACCTGTAAACACTTGTAATTATAATAATAATTATAATAATTATAATAATAATTATAAGTGCGCAATGCACTTATCAACTTATGTGTATACACTACACAATATATACGTATAACCGTATAGGTACACGGGCACGCAAAACCGCTAATATCCTTATTATTTTTGCATTATTCTTGTTGTTATCATTATTATTACCTTTCTATATCTTTCTTTCTTTCCCGTACGGCTCTTACGAAAGGAAAAATTATAAGGATTATAATTATAATAATAAACGTTTGATAATATTATAATATTGTTTTTCTCTCGCGATCGCAACGTATATACATTGCATAGGTATATATATATATATATACACCTAGGTACCTAGAATAGATAAGTATATACTTTCACTGCGATTTCACGACGAACGAATTCATCTTAAACTCGAAGTGTACCTATACACATATATATATATATATTATAATATATGCGCCCGTAAAAACTCGAACACTCGCGTGCCAGACCTGCGATGGGCGGACGCACTTGAAATCCGCATATTATATATATATATGTGTTGTATAGTCAAGTTCAGGTCACCGTTATAATAACATGCTCACATGTGTTTTTTTTCACCGACGTAATTCCGTGTACCCTGCACCTACTTAGAAACAACGTGTATTATTATCGTATATGTTATATACTACAGAGTTGATTTTTTGAACGCCTATCAGCCGATATCTCTGAAAATGTTTTGTTTTAATACACTTTAATATAAATAATAATGTTTTTAGTCCATTCTCTATTATTGTATTGTTATAAAATAATATACAATCGATTTTTGATTTCTAAATGACAACCTATATGGGTAATTATTATTTTGATTTCAAATATTCGCAAACTGTACAATCCTTGAATTTGTATTAATGTGCCATACGATTGAATTAAAAATTAGGTAAGTATGCTATTTTAAGTTAATATTTGGTGAGTAAAAAAAATGGAGTCATCTAAAATCTATTCATCTATTTATAATTTCACAAGTTGACTAATAGTCAATAAACTATTCGTCCTAGTTATTGTATACCTATAAATGTATATTGTGTTTAAGTGGCCAATTTCAGCAGATATAAAATTAATGCTATAGCATTTCACTTGACCGGTTTCCTTTGGATTTTATAGATGGAAATTGTGACTGTGATAATACTACGCTCAAAATAAACTATAATCGTTTGATAATTATTTGTATTTTTATAAAAAATATAATACTGAATATAATATATAAATCATAAATGATACCTTAGTTTTCTAAATATCTCCTCCTAGGCTGATCGTTATCAATCTCATAATATTTCCTATCTTAGAAAACTATTTTTCAGTTCTATCTCCTTCCCTTCTTGACGTTTGTACTTAGAAACTTAAAGATCCCAATCTAAAACACCCGTAATAATTTTGTTTTGTTAAGCCCCCATTGCTCAACCAATTATTTAAGAAATTAACCTCTTATTACTATATAGGACGATGAGCTCACCTATGAAAACCCGCCATTGTCAAGTTTAATATTTTAATATACATAATTTTAATTTTGTGTATTTATACATTTACACTATTCGTCTGCATGTCTTGGGCTTACGCTTGTTATTGTTATTAAATAGGTAATAAAAAAAATAATGATAACATACAGTAAAATCTCTGAAAACCCGACACTCCTGGTCGATGAAATGTGGTCCGCTATTTGGAGGTGTTCGTTAGCCGTTAGGGGAGGATTCACTGTATTATACAATCATCAAACACATGTGAGGTACGCCATTAATTAAATATATTATAATTTGTTTTTACAGAACTACAACGCACACCACCGAGATGAGCACAGTGGCCGCCAAAGATTTTGTGACCGTCGTGTCCGTGGACGGCGGTGGCCGTGGCGGCGTTCAACCGGCTGAAGATTCGTTTGTCACAGTGCTGTCCATCGGCGAGGACGCCGCAGCCGACGGTTCGCCCTACACCGCCGCCGAAGAAGTACTCGTCTACCGCCTGCCAGGCGAGCGTTTGGGCTTCGGGTTGCGGTTCGACGGCGTGGACACGTGCAACCGGCTGTTCGTCCAATCGTGCGCCGATGGCAGCCCGGCGTCCCGCACTCAGTCGTGGGGACCACTGGCCGCCGGCGACGAGATTGTTCAGATCAACGGTCGGCCGGTGAACAGGCTGAGCCGCGACGATTGCGTCCGATGTCTCAAGGAGTCAGGGCTGGTCGTCAAGCTGCATATGGTCGACGGCCGGCTGGCTATAAAGGCGCCGCCGCCCGTGCCTCCCCGGAAACAGAAGAAACCGGAACCGCCCCCGCCGATTGCATCGTCCACCCTGTACACGGACGCCGTTGAAAGGCAAGTACCCACGTGTACCCTGCAAGTGAAATTCCGGCGTCATAAGATAATATTCCTCGAGTTATGAAAAAAAACTTTTTTTTTTAAATTTAAAGTATACTAGCATATGACGCCACTACGCCAGACTGTCACTTCTTCAAGGGACACATTGCATATATACATATTAGGTTCTATCCAAGCCTACCTATGTAGGAACGTTTGCAAGTGTATTGAATACCTATAAAGTAATCTGTTATCACTAATAACTAATAAGTTATTGGTGACTTGTAGCCGGTAGCCAAGAAGGATGATAGTGATGCGACTAAGCGCATCTTTCCCGCACACATTTGAAGCCGCAGCTTTGCAAATTTTCTATTTCCTTGTGTTTTCATTCTATAATGTCAATGCTTTGAAAATTGTATTGCATATATTTTCATATTAATATTGAATGGACTTATTCCAGCAATTCAACTTATTTCAACAATCAAAACCGAACAAAGGCATAAGTTTAATAGAATTGACATCAGACATAGGTATGCCTATAAAATAAAGAATCATCATACTTGTGATACTAACCTGCAACAATAATTCACTCTGTTATTGTACAAGTCTTCATTAAATTATAATATTTTTCGCAACGTTTTTTCTTCCCATGAGTAGTGAATGAACAATCTCAAATTCTCAACCTATTATTCTTTACTAAAAATGAAAACAAGATTGATTATGTCAGAAAAAAAAACTTGAGTAATAGATTAGAAATTATAGTTACAAACATCATAAAAAATAAATATTATAATATAATATAAATGTATATGAATTAGAGATGAGACAATATTATCAACTAATAGGTAAGATGTTGTATTATTTTATAATTATTAAAAAAAAAAATTAATTTACCTCTTGCCTCATATTTTACGCAAGTCATCCAACTAGAACATATTAATATATAAACCAACGGGTTATTAAGCGAAAAGTGAATAATATCATATTATAATATTATTAACTATTATCTGATAACATTTCCATTTATATTTAGAGAAAGGAGGTACAAAGATGATGATCGATGATCAATTTCTACTAATTAGTAATGATTGATGAACACAGTGATTATATTATACATAGATAACGATTAACGAAACTCATCTAAACAGATACAAACCTATTATTTATTGAGCCATGTTCAAAGAATTGCCCTGCAGGAATGACCATGTTGATTATTATATACGTGATACCATCAAGCGTCGAATGTTAATTAAAAAATGAAATGTTTGTGCGATAGGTACCTATAATCTTTTAATTTCCCTCGCAAATCGAAACAATTAGCATTATAATTGGATACCTATTGGAATAATGAAATATATTCTCACCACGCGTGGATTATAGGCGTAACTTCACTATCTATACAAGTATATGACTATACCTATAAGAGTTTTTATATTAAATTATATAATATAATATATCATATACGTTATACGTACCATTGTAAGTACCTATTCACAGACTGTATAATAAGGTATTGGAATATTTTAAACCTGAAAATAAGTACTAGAATTTCGTCTTAGAATTTTTTTAATTTTCAATTTAATTATTGCGTTCTTAATCGCAAGTGGCTACACATTACTTGTAAGTAGTAGGTTATAGGTACTTATATATTTATGAATATTTTTAAAAATTTTACTAGTCCGTACTGTCTTCAATTCGGAAATTTAAAACCGACGACGGTGTTTGCCCCTATAATCTCTGATAATAAAGTTGAGACAGATAGTTCATTTATTTTTATTTATAAGCCAAAACCAAATTTAAACGTATGTAATAATAAACGATTTAAATGACTACAATTATTATTACCCAACAAAGCTTTTGAAATAACGATTCATCTATAACCATGTGTTAGATACATGACAATTTACGAAAATGCATCGTTTTGTATGCTATGCAAATTATTTTCTAACAATGTTCTAACAATATGTTGGTACAACACTTATTAATATATTTAAAAAATATCACAAAATATGATTTACAATTTAGTAGCCCCGTCGTAACCCCGTCAACTCTCCTTTACATATATAAATATATTATATTATTATTTAGTATAACATAATAACCATAAAAATATGTCCATGTTACAGGTTATTCGTTTACCACGGTGAATCGGAATCGGACGACACCAACAGCAGCGTTTCTACAGTGGTGTCCAAATGTCCTGCTGAATCATCGGTTGGCGAAGACTGCGCCGGTGTCGACGGTATGATCAGTGGCGGCAGCGACAAGAACTGCGTGCTGGACAGGGTGCTAGAGCCGTTCATGCAGCTAGAACGGGAGTTTTCATCGAGCGCGGCCATTGGCGACGACGTGGGCCTGTACGAGAAGCTGGTGGCCGTGGCCGAAGAGGACCGGCTGCCGCCCAAACCACTGCCCCGGAAGGAAGTGCGGCCGCCCAAGAAGAAGCCGCCACCACCTCCGCCACCGCTTCCGTCTTCGCCGCCGCCACCCGCTTACCGGTTGCCGCCCAGGCTTGTCGATTTCGTGCACAAAGACGAACAGCCACAAACAGTCGTCGACGCAGCCACTGCAGCCGGTGACGATGACTACGCCAACGAGAACGACGACGACGACGTTTTCGCGTAAGGGCGCAAACCGATAACTTCCTACTCACCCACCGACGGCGGGCCTACCCGTCTCATTGATTTAAAACCTAATTTTTTCAACCCTATTATTTTTTATTATTATTTATATTTATATTTTTGTCATCGAATCTCTACTACTATCTATACGCCAATGTGTTTATGCTGGTTAAGTTCGGGCTCAACGGTCGACCGATGTCCATATTATGTTCCTAGTTCGTGTCACGACAAAACCCCGTTACTGAAAACTTCACGCTTATAGGTATTTAAGGTGTTCAGTGTTCACTAAATCGTGTAAAAATTTGTGCAATTGAGGTTTAACGCTCGGGTTCTACGCTTGAAATTAATAATTATTATAATTATATTTGATTTCCTTATAATATTTCAGATTAGTTTAATATGACTATAATATAATATTGTACGTTAGGTGTCAGCTATTATATTTTATACAAACCTATCTAAGGATCATATAAAAATATATTTATACTTATATTTAATTAGGTAATTAATAATTCAGCTGAAAGTAATGTTATTGTGTACCTAACTATACCTTGTATATTTTTCAAATAAGGTAAATTTATTCACTATTGATATATTTTTAAAATCAGTACAACAATTTTATATTTTATTGTTTTATAAAAAAAATAGTCACTGATTCCTATATTTTTTATGATTCATTAATAGTTAAAAATGTTTATTACATAATCGAATGTATATTATTTTATTATTTAAATTGTATCTCAATAAGAGTAGGTATTTATATACTAATTAGTTAATTTAATTAATAATTTCTTTCACTCATTATTTCACTTAAAATAAATTACCCCTATACACTGAAAAGTACAAATCGTAATTTAACGGACATTTTTTTAGGTTATAGATATTTATATGACTTTATTTGTAAGAAGAAAAAAATCATTAAATTTATTTGGATTTTAACTGATGTCTGATCTTTAAAAATTAGATTTTTAATTGTATTACCTAATGAAAAAAAATAATAGTTACTATAATCTTGAATGATGACAATGTAATTAAAATAATTTATAGCTTTGTGAAAAGATTTAAATATATTGTTTCTAATTTAAAAATATAGCTCTAAAAATGTACAAGCCTTATTAATTGTTTCACATTACCCGAGTATTATGTCCAACAAATTGATTCTTCGCAATTATAAATAATTTACCGTACACAAAGGTACTAAATGTGTACAGTTAAAAACTAAACCATACTTTAATAAATTGTCTTATATTATAATAAGAAAACCGTTGTTGGTATTCAAGCGAAATGATAAATTGCCTTCAACCCAGATCCCATTCCCCTCTGAAAATAATATATTTTGAAATTTTGTTTGTTTGTACTACGCAAAACGTATTTTTTTTTACTTTTCAAATCCTAATTTTAATAAAATGTAACTTAAATAAAGAATTTTTGACCATGTTAGTCAATATTTCTAATAGTTTATGACATTAATTAATATTTAGTACAGGCATTTTATTTTACAATCATTTACTAATATCTGCTTTATAAATTAGATATTTAATACATTTTGAATCATATAGAAATCTTAGGAATTATAATATGTAACACATTTCATTATTTTTTATAAAAATTAAAACATTATTAATTTACTTGAAAAAATTTTATTCAATTTAATTTTGCCTTTAGTTTTTAGTATTATTGTTGTATGATAATAATTTGCTTATTAATCACTCATTATAATAAGTTGAACGCATTAAATAAAAACTTATAACAATAAATATTATAATAAAATAGTTGAGTTAAAATATCCATCTTTATCATATTATAGAGGAGAAATATCCATGATCGGAAGGATCGAGGGATGAAACTACTTGAATTGGATTGAGGACGGTTTTAAAAAATATAAAGTTGTGTATCATACTTTTAAGTCTTCGGCGATTCTTAATTTTTGTAGACTAATTCAGTTAACTTATCAATTTTTAGTAAATATCATAAAAGGTGTTCGTTTCATATCCAAATCATTGTATTATACTAATAAGTAATAAATTCTTTAAAGGATTATTTATTTAGATAAAACAGTGATTAGTACAGAATAACAAACAACAATATTTCTTATAATATTATCATACTGTATAGTGTATACCTTTATGGTAATTTTATAAGAAGAATGTTTCGAAAACGGATCAAACAGTTATCAATGTTATTAATATAATCTTTACATTGAAAATCTTAACACATTATTATTCAAACACTAGTCATTTTAGCGTTTAGAATTGTGTAATAAATAAATAATAATAGTTATGAGATAAATGTTTTTTGTTTGAACTCTGTTTAATACGTATCGGAACATAATATGGGTATTAGGTAGGAAATTACAAAAGAAACACACAAATCTGCAATATTCGTATGAAGTTCATATAAAGTGTTGTCCAACAAACCATTTTTACTCCATAAATTTTACACCGACTCAGCATTATTAATATTATAACATGAGATCCAATATCCATAAATCCATTAGGCATCACATTTATATATATTATTATAATCAAAGGTGGACTTTAATTAGTTAAAGAATCCATTGTACCAACTACCAACTTAGCTATTTCCAATTAATTAAAAAAATACAACGTTAAGTTAAAATTATGTTTGTAAACTAATTGATTTTTCATTATTATTTGTTTGCTCACTCAGTATATACAATGGTATTAACATTAAGTACAAAAAAATATTCCTCGATTTAATCATTTAATTAACACTAGCGTGTAATACTTACCTTACCCTTAAACTTTAAAGTATAAGAAAATAACATAAGAAGGAATAGTATAGAATGCATTTGTAAAATAATATTTTAAAGTTGTACAATCACTAAATATCTTTCACCCAGATAGTAATTTAAAATAGGATTAATTTACGTATTTTTAACTGAGTCAAGCTAATATTTTACCCCATCTTAACTATAAACTTTTAGAGTTGAAAAATCATTTGTTAACTATTAACTTTTAGCTTAAATTAATTAATGACGTTGATTTTTAACTTAAATATGTAACTCAAGTTAACTGTTTTTATTACTTTTTTTTTAATAGTACCTACCTAAATCGAATAAAGTTATCGGATGGCTTGCAACGATGGTGCAAAAATGTGTGGTCTGCCCCTTTAACCTCGACCACCGTGTATAAGTGTTTATCTACTCGCCGGTGGAACGGCGACCATTAATATATTATATTAATATTAATATATTCTCAGAATAGAATATAACTTAGGTTTTTATTTCTTAACAATTTATTCATACTTTTCTGATATTCTTGAACGTTTATTTTTCAGAATTGCCACCAGTGGGATTCATCAGCCATCGAGTGACGACGAAATAACAATGGCAGATCAACACGATCCGAAAAAAGGTAAAGACACAATATTTTAAATAATTATAATATTATACTAATATAATGAACAAATCAAACTAGTTATTATTTTAAAAGGGGTAGGTCTTACAAAAGTAGGGGAAAATCTTACGAACTTTGTGAACCTTTAAGCAGTGGTTATGCATAAAAAAGCATTATTTTATAAACCATACTCGAAATATTAAAAAAAAAAGTTAGATTTTAATTTTTAACGGAGCTATGAATTTATTATTAGTTTTATAATGATGTACATCATGTGTGTATGTGTCGTGTGTGTGTGTGTGTTGTATGTCTGAAGAATGACATCTTTTATAGTAGAAAAAATGCTCCGATCATAAGCCGAGGGATGTATCTGGTAGAAAATTGTAACTTAATAGTTTATACTTTGTACTTAGGTAGCATTTAAATTACACAGATGCGTTTCGAAGTAATTAGGAAAAACTCTTGATTACGGAAAAAAAAAATTGTACACAAAGCAGTTTTTGATAAAGATATTATTTTTTTTTATTGTAATTCAAGAATGAACAACCAGATTTGAAATTGTCAACAAATATTATTTCGAATATTATAATTTTAATAATAAAATGTTTTTATTTGAATCAATAATCCAATCAAAATTAGTAAACAACAATAAACAATAGTGATATTTTTGAAAGAATTATTTTAGAATGACAGCTGATCGTCTTCACTTAGAATCGTTTTTAATTGCATACAATTATTTATCATTGAATTAAAAAGTAAAAAAATATAAAAATTATCTACCAATGCCGAGGTACATTTGTATAACAAATGCTAATAAACGGTTACCTACTTCTCCGAATTTTTTTTATGAAAACAGTATACTATTTTTCAAACCATTGCCTGTTGGATGCCTGCATCGAACCACTTGTTTACGTAAAAACATCACATTGTGTTTGTATTTTAATAATAATAATAGTACAATGTACATTGGACGAGATTAAAATGTCGTTACAGGACTCAGGACAAGATGTGTGTGGTTATCGTTATTATTTAGTATTGCAGGCGTAGGTAGGTACATTATAGACAATAACAATAACAACAATATAGGAGATAACGGAGAGCACAGATCTTAAACAGCGGACCGTCGGATCATGTGTATCGTAATCGTCTAATAATATTAAAATAATAATAATATTGCAGTTTGTACATCGATTGCGCTGAGTAATAAGACGCGCGTCCGGTGACGTTGTTTCGCGATCCAGACCGATACGGGGCCACTCCACCTGACTACGATAATAATATTATAATAATATTTTATATTGTAGTATCGCGCGTATAAGTAATAACTAATAAGTTATAATAATATATTGTATTACATATTATAGTACCTCTATCTATAATATACCCTACACGCGCTCGCGTTCAACAGTGATTTATAACGCGTACAAGACGATTATGACGACGGAGTACGCTAGACGGATACTAATTATCGTCACAGGTATGTGTGCATTGACTTATTCAAAGATCAGTGTTTCGATCATAAAAAAAAATAAAAATTGTCGTAAACCCAATATTATATAATTATGTGTTTACAATTTATATATTGTAGGTATACTGTTTATATATAATTTATATATTGATAATAATTGATCAATGTCGCTTATATAGGTTCGGATATAGTAGCGGTAGTTGTGCTCTTCGATATTCTTGTCACGCGTCACACAGTATTTGGTTTACGTCCCGCCACGTATAATATAACGACTTCAACGAAATGTTTATAAAATCATATAATATTATATTATATACAGATATACTCAATAAAAAAATATATAAGTATAGTATTATTATAGGTATGCTACTGGTTTTGCTTTGGGAGGAGCTGTTTATTTGTTATACATTTATATATATTATATATATATACTAATTATATAGGATAGACTTAATTAGGATCAATCATAAATTTGGTATACCGATGTCTCGTGTATAACATTTTATACTTCTGCAGCAATCTTTAAACAAATTACAATTTTAATACGTCCTTACGTCTTGCGTAATAAGTTCACAGAACACTGAAAGTATTTTTAAATACTCCTGAAATTCGGGTAGTGCTGCCGTCTGAAGGGGGTTTTCTTTAGCAACCCCTCGGCTCTCCTCTTTTTCTGTGCACCGGGTATGTGCGCAAGTAAGTGACATAGTCAAAATGATATCGACATTTCGTATAATATCAAATTAAATCCCTTAGCTCGACGTATGGTGGAGTAACGTATACACAGATATCTATTAAAAATGTTTTACAATAATATTTAGTGGAGCCAAAATGATCAGTTTTTCGTACGATAACTATACAGTGCGGTGCCTATCCACAATCCACAATTCATCTGTAGGAAAAAAATAAGGCAGCAATAAAAGTAGGTCCTTGGCAACTTATTATTATGTGTTGAGATTATTCTGTTTTACAAAATTTGAAAACAATGATGATCATTATTGTAATGCAGCTAAAAATATTGAATTTGATTTAATTTAGATGTGTCCATGGATTATGGAGCCCTTAGAACAGTAGTTATCAACCTTTGTGTGTTGGCGACCCAAATATTTACATTTAGCACACATTTTCAACTTACGGAACTAAGTTTTAAAACAGAAAAAAAAAATACATTGTATCAACATCCCAGCCCTAGTCTTAACTAATAATATATTTAATTAACCTAGTACCTATAATATGTAGGTAATATAACGTAATCGATACTGATGAGTGATGATAATCATTTAAAAAACATTATAGCAAATATAAAACGTTTAAGTTTGAATTTGAATTTTTTTTAATATCTTATTTTTTTTTACTTTGTTAATCTATATAATATTTAAGAACATTTTATAAAAAAACAATCATTATAAGACGAGTATACTGGGGAGAATACATTATAAAGACAAAAACGGCGATTGTCATAACACATAAACAATAAACAATACGACTTTACCTACATCTTAGTATCTTACAAATTCATAGTAAAATTATATTGTCGAATTCAGTGTTTTGAATTCGCCAGACGGTCGCGATCGCGTTAGTATGGATCATTAAAATATTATACGCCTATATTGTACCTATATTGTAAACGAGGTTTTATCTCGATTATTATAATGGTTTTGCGAGGTTTACTCGCGTCGTTATAGAAAGTCACCGTCGTACAGCACTACAGCTGAGGTTCGTTAAAATAATATTATGTGTATCGATCATCGTTTTGAACGCCGGCCAGGTACCTATCTATACTATGGATGGAAAAAAAACGTATTAAATTGATGAAATCGCGATGAACGCAATCCATTATTCCGCCGTATATATCGCAGTGATATATTATTGTATATAATATATTAATGTAGGTACACATACCGATGACAAGGGATGGGGAGGGGCAAATATACTACACTTGTACAAGTATACGATCTGGTCCTTATAATATATATACATATATATATATATCTGTACATGCCTGTATTATACTTATATATATGCGCAACAGGAGAAGTATTTAAACATTCTTGACCTGATTTAGCGGAGCGCGCAAACAAATAGGCGCGATCACTATAATGCATACATGTACGTAAATATTATTTATATAATGACATTATGACGTGCGTGTTATTATGCGATATAATAATATAATATAGTGTATCATTGCCACCAGGTTTTCGAATCCTGCGATCCAAATAATTGTACAACTATACGATATACGAAAACAACGATGAGTGGTGTGTGACACTACTGACACTACTTGCTCGGGGTGGGTGGCCGGGTGGGTATTATAAATAAATAATATTGCGGTGGAGTTATGTTTATTATTTATATATTGAAATGGAGCTGGACTATATTTCATGTTCTGCTGAGGATAAAATAAAGACCCACCTACTTAAATTAAATGTCTGTATAGTGTATAGCCTGCAATTCTATTATTGTACTTTATACTAACCATAATTGTTAAATTATAATAATGTTTAACACGTACAAACCACTAATTATCACCCATGAACCACCGACCCCCTCGCGAAACACCCATTAAAAAATACTTCTGGGGAATTTACCACAGTTGGTTCCCGAGATCGGCGCCACTATAGATGGGCCCTCACTTGGACTTGCAGAGCTTCATTTTTAACAAGCTAGTTGGAGCCTCATATCTTTCCATGGGCTTGTGCACCATCCCGCAGTTGACTGTATTCCAGATCTGCACTCCAACCCTATTCTCGGCCATGACAAATGTTTTTTTCTTCAGGGGAAGATGTTGTATAATCAATATTCGTTCATGAAATTACATTGGTTTCTTATTATTTCTTTGGACAATTTGAGCTGTAAATCACTACAGGTTAAAATAATATATAGGTATATTGATATTTGATGTAGAAAGAAGAAATACGAGATTTTCAAGGTAGAAATCGGAGTGTATCGATACGTATCGGTCATCACATATTTTGAGCGTTTAAGAATTTACATGTTCGATATACCAGTGAAACGTATACCGATCGGTCTCGGCATAACATATTTTCTGTTGGATATACGACTATACGAGTCGGTATGTAAGTAAACTACGTATACCGACACTTAACGAATTTTTCTTCCCTAGCAGGTAGATCATCTAGTTTACGTGAACTTTACGAATTCTTCAGACGAATAAAAGGCGTAGTTGTTTCATGCATTGAATTGCTAAGGGGTGACGGGGTGGTCTGCGGGACACCACTGCAGTGGGGCCCGGGTCGTGCAGTTGGGCATACGATTCGTATTCTCTGAGTCTTGGGGTCGGGTGGATCACAGAGCGTTTTACACATGGACTTGGCATAATTGCTAATTAATAGTCATAATTAATAATTAATATCTACAATATGACTTTTAGGCGCGTGTGCTTAAACAACGTCGACGACGGGTGAGATATATTATAATATATTATATACCTACGATCTTAATAATAATAAAAACTGTATTGCGAAATCTTCAGCGTACCTATGTGATATGTCCATGCACGTACCTACGTAAAAATAGGTACGGAACCGCAGCAAAGTGTCCCTCTCGTCC